TTATAGTAACAGTATAACATTAAAGGATTTTCTTCTTTCCCCAATTACTTGCTAATATTGACTGTTTCCTTGACTACTTCATTGACAGAGATTCTGCATAAAATTATAGTTTAATATTCAGCATTTTTTTCAATACTGGGGATTGAACCCAAGCCCTCATACATATCGGACAGGTAGTTTACCACTGAACTACATCCCTAGGCCAGTATCTAACATTTTAATCTTTGTATCTTTATGACTCTTCCTGGCTATAATATATCACACTGTGGACCTGGTAATAAATGGCACAAAGAGAAACAATAGCCTCCAAGTTTGTTGACCTGTAGTCTGCTACATTGGCTTTCATTGTCTGGTGCTAAGAAAAACATGTGAATATCATTAACAGTATATCATGATGGTTTGTACTTTTTAAAAAAAAAATCACGTGTGCATGTATGTGTGTGTTGGGGGATGGGGGCGTTCCAGGGATCTAACACAGTGTCTCACACATGCTAAGCACAACTCTTCTATTAAAAACTATAACCCCAGCCCATGTTTTTATGTCTTAAGGACATACTGCCCTAACAAAAATATTTACACAACAGATAATATTATAATTTATTTATTTATATATTTTTTGGTAGCTGGGATTGAATCCAGGGGTGCTTAATCACTGAGCCACAACCCCAGCCCTTTTTATTTTTTTTCCTTTGAGACAGGGTCTTGCTAAGTTGCTTAGGACCTTGCTAAGTGGCTGAGGCTGGCTTTGAACTTGTGATCGCCCTGTCTCAGCTGGTATTACAGCTGGTATTACAGGCACAAGCCACCACACCAGCACAAATTAATATTATTAAAAGATATATCTAGGCACATTAAAACTTTAATGAGCTTATTTGATCTTTAAGTTATTCATGAATTGGGCAGCACTAGAGCACACATAGTTCAGTGCTCTACCAAAGGAACAGGGGGAAGAAACTTTTATAAGGCATTTGTGGAAATAAGAAAAAGTATTATATTGGTTAAAGTGCAAAGTCCCTAGTTAGAGGTTGTTTGGCAATTTCTGCTTAGTAAAGTCTCTGGCTAGGTGTTAGATGGTGGTTTCTGATGGGTTTCTGATGAAACCTACTGCAAACGAACTTAAGTTACATTTAGTTGGGTTTCAGTTTGCTTATGAAGGAACCCAATGCACTGGAATCATTTGAGCCTAGAGGCCTCTCAAATAATTATTTCAAGTAATATATGGAAAAAAATTCACCTGTGAACAGTGTGCTCTAAAGCAGCTTTCAGTAGTCTGGATCCTGGAGAGGAAGACATGAAGATGAAGTTAAATGTGTAAGAAAAATGAATTATCTGTGTGAGAAAACTGGGAAGGAGACTGAAGAGACCCAGTGAATCATCAAATATGAATATGACCCTGAGTGAATGAGGAAAACAAAGGAAAAGGAGGAAAGTTGTATGGCAGTAGTTTTAAGGAAAGTTCAGCAGAGTCTGGAACTCAAGTCTCGCATCAGAGGAGTGTCATATCTCCCAAGAATAAGCCTGCTGTTCTAATTCTGCCAGGTTCTCACCTGATAGCAGTCCATGAAGAATATGGTCTTGTTCACTGTAGTAATAGATCATAGAACATAATATCTGGAACCATCAGTCAAGTACTCTCCCTATTGTCTAAGATCTAAGAGGTGTTTTATTTTGGTCATCATGCAAGGTTCTAAAAATTTAATATGCATGCAAATCTCCTAGGAATCTTAAAAAGCAGATTTTATAGATCTGAAAGGGGGCCAACTTTCTGAAGTTCTAAGAAGCATTCTTTAAAGATGATGCTGTTGGGTGCTAGATCTCACTTTGAGTAGCAAGGGCCTAGAGACACTTGGAAGATCCCATACAAACCATAGGTTTATAAACTCTTCACAGACTTAATATCTTAGCTCCGATGACACAACTATAGTTGTCTGATACACACAATTTCATGTTAGGTTTTTTCCCATTAACTTACCCCCACCCCTCCCATAAAATCTCAGCTGCCAAACCCTTCACATTACCTGCATAACCATTTATTACCATCTCTGTATCTTCCACATATGTGTACTCATTTTGGTATCAAGATAGGGCTATTGTATTCTCTAATCTCAATCATATACCTTTGGTTTAGATTGTTTCTCAATAGTAAGCAAAAAGTTTCAAGTTGTTAAAATATAAACTTAGGCACATTAAAACACCAACAATATTGGCTCCAAAATCCGTACTGTGTAGAAATTCTGATGCAGCCATTCACCATTTCTCTTCTAGGTGGGAGTCCTGAGGGATTTAGCCACATATATTTCCTCCACATTGTCTCAGGACTTCTGCAGTTATCATCCTAACCATGTGTCTGTCCATCTCTCTTTAACAGGATCTGTTCCCTTCCTTACTCTAGTCACAGACTTATTGACATATTTTGGTTCAATTCCTTACATACTATTGTTTAAGACAGTGATGTTCATATTTTTCTGAAGCCATTGAATTATTCTTTCAAACAAAACTTAAGTAAAATAGATTAAGTAGGTATGACTGAAACAAATGGGAGACAAAATTAGAGAGAAGGCCAGAAACATACTTTGTGAGTTAAGGTGTTTAAGTGTTATTATGAGAGCTAGGGGGAGTGGTGAATGGTTTCAAGGAAGGAGAGACATGACCAGAATTATGTATTTTGAGTGATTACTTCAGCAGAGAAGTAAGAATAACTTGAAGAGTATCCAGATGGAATCAGAGACAAGAAGGAGAATAAGAAGGATTACAAGAGAGATTAAGCAACTGGAATTATAAGAACATGCTGGCTGGAGATGGAGTTAAGAAAAGAGTATAGAGTGAATTTAGAGCGCACAATGTCTTGTAAGTTTCAAGGTTAGGCAATCATTGATGTTTTGAGGGTTGCCACTTATTGAATCAGGAAGACAGGAGGAGGAATATTAGAAGGTTATTGAGCTGTTTTGAGCACACTGAGCTTAAAAACTGAGTTTAAGTACCCACTGGAGTACATGGACGTAGAAATCAGCAAAATCAAGCTTAGAAACTCCTCCAGTACAGGACCATTATTATTTGTAGAGTAGTCCCAGAGTCTGCTTATGCAATTGCTCAGGGTTCATACCAAGATATTTTTTTCAAATGAGTTGTCTATAAAGTTGTGCTTCTTTCCAATATATTCTTCAAAATACGGGTTGCCTGTAACACTTTTAACTTCAGTAATCACTTTTCTCTCCTTTTTCCAAAGTGCTCCTTGCATATTCAAGTCTGGGGCTAAGCAGGTTAGAGAAATAGGGAGAGAATTCCCCCCTCCACCACCATTGCCCTTTGCTGTAAAGTCCTGTTTAGAATTTAAGTTCAGAAGACTTAAAGGTTGTGTTTATGAAGAAATAGGGATCAATAGAAAATGATTATAATCTGCAAAAGGTAATATCAACTGGGTTGCTGTAATGTGGCAGGAAAAGAGGTACTATGTGTAATATTTTGCACTATGTTTAGAAGGTTAAGGTTTAATGAGGTGGCTTTCAAAATTGAGTTTTCAAGTCCTTGAGAGGGAACTGAGAGAGGAAGGGTTGCTTAGTAGTTGGAATTTTGGGTCCATCACTATTTCAGCCAGAACAACCTGATTTGTTTCACATATAGCTTTCACTGAAAAATGGATTTCATGGTCCCACTTCCCCACACCCCCAAAACACAGGGTCTTCCTATGTTGCTCAGGTTGGCCTAAAACTCAGGATCCTTCTACCTCAGACTCCCAAATAGCTGGGACTATAGGCTTGCACCATGTGTGGCTTCTACGGTCTTTTTAAGAACATGTTTAAGTGTGAAAACACTATTTTTTAAAAAATATTTTTTTAGTTGTCAATGGATCTTCATTATTTATTTATTTATTTATATGTGGTGCTGAGAATTGAACCCAGTGCCTCACATATGCTAGGCATGCACTCTATCACTGAGCCACAACCCCAGCCCTGAAAAGCATTATTTTATGCAGTAGAAGTTGTAAGTCATATGAAGAGGGTGGTGAGGAGGAGTTTAGAGTGAAAGAAGGAAAGAAAGCTGTTGAACAATTGGTAGTTGCAAAGGTCTTCCCACTGTTCTTTGCCGAACTATATACAGGACATTCTAAGACACTTTTATTTTTGATTTACTTTTATGTCCCGCCCCCCATCTTAAGTTTCTCAAAGGCAATGCATGACATTTCATTTTGCACCTCTAATGTTTGGTATACTAAAATAAGTCTGTTAAATTAACAATTCTAGGTACTTTGCCAGTGCACCCCTACCTCAGAGAAGCGTTCCAAAGGGGGACAGAGAAATGCTCATTATTAAGAGAGAGGAAAGATGTGGTATTTAGAGTGTTTCTATATGTGTGTGTGTGAAAAAAAAAAAAAAGGGGGAAGTGAGAGTGGATAAAATACCTCCTAAACATAAGAATGAACACCTCCATTGATGTGTCTTGCAGAAAGTGACCAATATATTTTGTAACTAATGTACTGCAAAGTGTCATTGAGTGTGTTGGAGGTGGATAAGAATGACACATACTGATTCAAATTTTTTGAATAATGAAACAAAGAGCCTTATGTTAATTGTATAACCAGTATCTCCTACAAAACGCATTGTCAGACAAAATGTTCAAGGACGTTAAAAAAAAAAAAAAAACAATTGCAACACAACAGTGAGATAATAAGGTCCCTTAATGTTTCTAAATTGCCTGTCCTCTGCTGCTCAGGGTAACTCAGAACCATGTTTGCAAAAATCAAACAAAATAACTTAAAACATGTTAAAACAAAACCAAACAAAATCCCTGCATTGAAACGTAAAGACTGGGGCCTGAGACCGAGTCTGTTCCCAAATGTGGGGGTAACCCGAGTGCTCAACGTTCCCTGGGGGTTCCAACCGTGCTGAGGCCGCAGTGGGAGAGCAGAAGCCCCCCACCCTTGAGAACTTCTGGAAGACACACCCCGGAAGGCCTCGCGCAGCTCCCGAAGTCAGCCGCCCTCCCCTGGGTCCCCACCACGCTGAAGGGCCGGGAGGACGCAAGGCGCGGGCGTGCGTTCCTCCGAAGCCCGGGGGCCAGGAGCCCCTCGCACCACCTGGCCCGCAACCCGGAAGCAGATGTGGGCTATGCGGCGCTACCGGGTTGCGGTTCCGGGTCGGGCCGCGCCGCAGCCCGCGCACATCTAGCCGCCGCGGCTCCCTGCCCCCGTACTACGGACCTGGGTATCGGCGGCCGCAGGGCCGCTCCCGGGGCCACATGGCTGAGGGGGACACAGGGAGCGACCAGAGGCAGGTGAGGCCCCGGCGGGGCGCTGACCCCCAGGCTCAGCTCGGCCTTGCCTCGCCGTCCCGGGCCGCCTCCGCCCGGGGCCGCTCCGGTTCCCGCCTGCACCGCCCGGGCCGCCCGGCCGCGCCGTTCATTCGCTTCACCGCATTCCATTTTCCTGGCGCTTCCCCTTTGGCGAGCGCTCCCGGGCCGGTTGTTCCTCAGCGTCTTCGGGGTTTGGCCTACTTCGGACGGTGTCCTCGTCAACCATTAGCACGCGACAGAGCAGCTCTGGGCCGGAGGCAGGAAACTGGGTTCTGCATCCCACCCTGTCTCCCGGGTCACCTTGGACAAGGTTCTTCAGACCCTTGGTTTCAGCCTTTGGAAATATGGGCAATAACACAGACCCTGGAATTTCCAGAGAGTTCACCAAATCTTATATTTCTCTTGATTTTGAGCTTTCTTCTGTGTAAGATTCACGTGGGCCCTCTTAAGTCTTTTCCACCAGGGCCTCGAGGACAAAATGAGATGATCCAGAGTTGAATATATACTTTTCTCCATTTTTCACCTTTTGGTCCAGTTATTATTTTTTAATCTCACACCAAAATTATTATTTCTGAAATATTTTGAGGCTTTGGATACCAAAAAGACAAAAAAAAACCCACCCAGCCCCAGGCCTGTGCCCAAATTTAAAAAATAAAATAAAAATAATAATGAATGAAAAGAAACTAAAACAACATAGAATATCCACTAGAATATAGGGAGAGTGGAAACACTATTAGTGGTGAGAGTTGGGAGTTATCTGTTTAAAATAACATAGTTTGTCTTTTTAATTGTGAGTATAGAAGTGCATATATATTTTGGCTCGGTAGGGGGCAAAAACACTAGAAGACCATTGTGTGGCCCGTTCCCGTTCCCTTCATTGTAGTAGTGTCCCTCACCCAGAGAGAGGTTTGGTGGCTTCCTGCTAAGAACATTTTTGCTTATTAAGGTTCATCCAGTAATCCTTCATCCAACATAGTGATGTTGAATGTTAATATCATATAAAGTCCTGAGAAGACGTTTTAAGGGTATATGTACACTGTTCATTTGTTGACTTTTTTTTTAATCAACTTTCAGAATGAGGAAATTGAAGCAATGGCAGCCATTTATGGCGAGGAATGGTGTGTCATTGATGATTGTGCCAAAATATTTTGTATTAGAATTAGCGATGATATAGATGACCCCAAATGGACACTTTGCTTGCAGGTATATATATGTATATATATTTCTTTCTTTTCTTCTCTACAGCCATTTTCCAGTTACAGTATTGACTATGATTGCCTATAGAAGCCTCATGATTATTCATGCATGTGTTATTTTCTAAATTATCTTTGTTGTTGGCTTTTGTTTTGATTGATTAAACATGTAGATAGTTAAATCTCAGATCACCCTCAAATTGTGCATGCATTGTTTCAATCTTTCTTCTTCCAATTCTTTTCAATTATTAAATGTGTTCATGTCCCTTGGACAGATTTGAGTTTCATTTCCTTTCATATCTCATGAAAGGTTCAGAGTTTCTGAACCTGGAAGGATGGCTGATATTTAAAATGAACAATAGGATAGCAATGTAGATGATCCATACAGTAGATGCTCTATTAATTTATTAATTGAGAATCAGTTATAGTTAGGATAAAATAAATGAAAAGATTAGCTATAGCTTTCTCTCTTAGTACATCTTCTTTGATGACTGCCTGTATTTTCAACATAAAGGGTGCTAAAGTTGAGTTTTTTATTTTTGTAATACAACTTATTTGAAAATATATGGTTTCTATAACTTTTTCATATATAATATTTGGTAGATTTTTGAGGGGTGGGTGTCAGGGATTGAACTCAGGGGTATCAACCACTGAACCACATCCCCAGCCCTATTTTGTATTTTATTTAGAGACAAGGTCTTACTGGGTTGTGGTGCCTTGCTTTTGCTGAGGCTGGCTTGAAATCCTGATTCTCCTGCCTCAGCCTGCAGAGCCCCTGAGGTTGCAAGCATGTGCCACTGAACCCAGCTTATATTTAATAGATTTTTTTTTAGGGTTTGTTTGGTTTTAAAAATTTTTTTTAAAGTATTTTTTTCAGAAAAATATCTGGAAAATTTTATAGTGTTACTCTATCCATTTGTGGTCAGGATATAATGCCCCTGTTACAAGTTTTCCTTTTCCTCTCAAATATTTTCTTTACCCTTATTCTTTTTGGGCAAGAAGGGTACTGGAGATTGAACCCAGGGGTGCTCTGCCACTGAGCTACATCCACAAGCACTTTAAATTTTTTTTTTTTTTAATTTTGAGAGAGGTTCTTGCTAAGTTGCTGAGTTTGGCCCCAGACTTTCGAGTCTCCTCTGTCAGCCTCGTAAGTCACTAGGATTATAGGTGTGGGCCACCACACTCTGCATTGTTTGCCCTTATTTTATTTTTTATTATTATTATTTTTACTTTCTCTGCAAATAATTTGTTTTACTCCTTAAAATACTGGCAGCATCACTAACAACATATTCAATGTTAGAAGCATAAATTGGTGATTTTCTCCTGAGATTTAACAAACCAATGATTCTAAGTTTGGCAGGATAGAAATTTGTTCAGTGGCTAGTTTTATAAATATAATTATTTTTGAACGATAATGAATTGTTAAACAGATTTGTTTTTAAACTGCATTCTAGGTGATGCTACCAAACGAATATCCAGGTACAGCTCCACCTATTTATCAACTGAAGTAAGCTATATTTATTTCTAAATTTATATTTTTTAAAAAGATATTTTCAAAGATATTTCTCTGTACTATGCGTTGCATTTTATATAAAATACTTTTATTAAAACAGAGATTAGAAACACCTTTTAGATTTGGTGTAGAACATTTAAATAAAAAAATCAAATTACCTAAAAACACATTGAATTATGCCACTTAATATAAAAGAGAATCGATGAGTTCATAGGGGTTAAATAGCTACAGAATTTTCTTTAGAGATGGGGAAGAAAACCTTCCTCTTTATTCAGCCTAATGATCTGGAAACCCTGACCCTTCGAATTTCTCCTGACCTCTGTCCTAGCCACAAAATATTCTGCTTAAGACTTCTTCCCTTTCAGGAATTATCCAGGGTACTTCTTATGGTTCTCCATGTTCTCTCTCCTCCTTGATATTGAGGAACTATTTTCTTCTAAGTCCAAGCTTAATCTTTATGAGTCATGACCTGTTGATGCAAGCAACCTGGGATCTACCTTGCCTCCTTAATCTAGTAGTATGTATAAGCCACGGGAATAGATTTGCATAAAAATCTATTACCAAAAATTTTTACTGGGGTTGGGGATGTGACTCAAGCGGTAGCGCGCTTGCCTGGCATGCGTGCGGCCCGGGTTCAATCCTCAGCACCACATACAAACAAAGATGTTGTGTTCGCCGAAAACTAAAAAATAAATATTGAAATTCTCTC